AAAACCCAAAAAAAAAAAAAAAATTAAAACGGGAAATAGACAATGTCAATGTCGCGACTTTCATTCTTATGTTTGATGTTTGAATTAGGGGCAACTTCTCTACCCTCTGGTTGGATAGCGATCACTCCACCCTGGCATCTGCCGTGAATCCACCCAGATCAGGATTTATGCGATTTTGATATTGTGGCAATCGGAGCACTATCTAAGTCGTTCCGGTAAGCCGCTAATAAAGATCGTCATGGTACCCGAAATAAGATACTAGCATGCGCTTTTCCAGACGAATCAAGTTTTTATATGGATAAGATTTTGACAGCCCTGTCAGGGAATTTGGTGTCCGCTATCATATTATTATTGAATGTCATTGGTGACAATGAGCGGTTCCGCATGAAGACAGTACTCCTTCAAGGGACGCTATAAATAGCGACCTTCTGAGGACGGAAGGGCATCTTTTTATTCCTGCATCCTGGTTTATTATGAAGCACTTCCACGTAACTACTACAATTATTTTCGAAGGATCGATGGTGCACGAGGTGTAGGGGGGCTGGATGTGCACAGACTATGACTATTTCCATCGCCCGCCTCTAAAATCTAAAGCCAAGCCATCAAGCGAACCGATGGCCCACAGCATCAAGAATAGCATGTGCAGAGTTTTTATAATTAAAACCCCTTTTTGCCCGGTAGTTCTTTTTCCTTCTTTCCCTTTTAGCATTTCTCTATCAGTCTAGCAGGCCGCGATCATGGACATCAGACCAGCATACGAGATCATCGAGCTCTGGCCGGATAACAATCGACGAAAAGGATGATACTATCGATATACCGTAGTTAACCCACTAACTACCAAAAAAGTGCATATCCCCAAGAGGCGCGGTCGGCGGCTCTTCTGAATTCGTAGTCGGACTGAGATCAGTGAACAACACTGAAAGTTGTCGCAATATAAAGTCAAAAAGTATAATAAATATGGGTTTAATGATCAGACGAAGATATTATGATAGAATACACCACTGTACGATGGCTTTCTGATGCCAGTTTGACAGCTCTAAATTTCTTTTCAACCACCCTCGCGCGGTAAGGTATACCAAGCGATGCATGTCGAAAAAAAATTGCCCATCATTGCGCTTCTTAATAAATGAGTAAGCATCCAGTCTGTCAATGGCGTCGGTCTCCTTTCGCGATGGCCCCGGTAGAAGCATCGACTGCGGAATATCCTTGGGATCTACACAAGCCATGAAGGAAAGATGGCCAGCTGCCAGACAATTTTCGCGGCAGATCTGCTGGAACCACACCTCGGTCAGCACTCAGAGCAGGTCCTCGCAAGCACATGACAATTTAACTATACGAATATGGACTAACTAGTGTGTTATTGATTTGAGGCCAGGTCAGTAGACCTGCCCAACTACCTATATAGCTTAGGCGAGGGCAGTGAAGAAGCACGCGAGAGACTGAGTGTGGCACTGCGTGATGTTGGGTGATGGCTCACCTGGAGGTCTAGCGAGGAACAAGGAGAGAAACTCTACTCTGTATAACTAGTGCGCTCACCCTTAACTTGCTCTAAGGACAGGTAAATACCGCCTTGAATAGAAAGCTAGCACATACGACCATAGGGTGTGGAAAACAGGGCTCCCCGTCCGCTCAGCCGTACTTAAGCCAAATGTTAAGCGCGGTCAACCGTCATTTTTGCCCTTTTCTCATTGCCGCTCTAAGGGTGATGACCGGGTGAGCACTAGTTGGGTGCAGGTGATTGAGGTTATGCCTTTAGAGTCGAGGGTGAGTGTTGGGGTGATCAGTGGGTGATCAGTGGGTGAGCAGGGTGATGAGTGGGTGAGCAGAGCCATGCAAAACCAAAAGTACTTTTAAGAAATTATTTGGCATAAGTAGGCCATTGTTTCGCTTGACCATCACATTTTTCTTCTTCATTTTTTGCCTCGTGTCTTTCTAGAGACAATTCTGACGCTATTCATCTTTTGAAACGGATAAACCAATGAAGCGGTCAAACTCCGAGTCGGGGAGTCGATTATCCGGACTGCTCGAGGCTATATAGGAAGAGGAAATTTAAATTACACAGAGGATGACATTGATATCTATAGACACCGTAGATGGTAGAATGAGTGCTTAGCCGTCTAAAGCCTATGGCTACGGTGTTCCTATATTAATATGAGGAATCTGTCGGCCTCGGTAATCGGGCCGACTATTAATCTGCCTTGACTTTCATCAGATCGAAGGTTTAAGTTAATTCAGGAACGTCGCAAACTTGCCGAGGCTCAAGGATTTACCACAGCTTATAAACGTGACAGAAGAGCAAGACAATGTTGTATGCCTAAAGTAAAGGGCTCCTGCCACCAAAGCCACATAGTTATTCTAGGGCAATTGAGAACTGGTGTCTGTAAGTAATGCAGGTTGACTGTATCTTGTCACGGCTCGGTAACTAGGTAGTAGCCTCTCGACGAGGATATCGAATCTGGGGGAAAAAAAAAGGAGAAGAAGAGAAATCTATCTATATAAAGAGATTTTATAGGGGTTGTGTGGTGATATTTTTCTCAATCGTCTCGGAAGCATCGTTTGTCATTATAGTTATTTATTATTATTATTATTATTATTAATTCATTCTCGCGCCTGTCAGCCGAAAGGCCGATTGGCGACAGGTCCCTATGGAGTAGCCGGGGAAAGCTACGGTTTAAATATAAACGGCCCCGTGCATCCTTATACGGCTTTAGTTCCCCGGGGCCCGAGATCTCCTGATCTCCCTCGCATCCATCCCTATACGCAAGCGCGCGCGCATTCCATCTAAGCATCGTGGGTTGTACTATGTAACCCGGTATGAGGCCGGCAGGGCTCCAAATTAAAGTTGCATTCGGCGCGGTTTGGCGCGGATTTTGGATACTACAGTCTTCGGTCCGCATCCGTGCCAAAATCCGCGCGGATTGGTGCGGATTAAGCCGTAAAATCCGCACTAGAGCCCAAATAGGCAGTTATGTACTAGGCCATATATGGCAAGTATTTATGCTTAGTCATTACTCAGTATCACCCTTACAATCGCATGCTCAGCTCGTCATATTGATATTTCAAGCCATCTACATAGTAAATATATCAATTTCTTATTAAATATGTACTACATCCATTATACAACCTTATATGCCTATATAAATATATTTTAGATATTTCGATGCTTTGCTGCTTACTAAGCCAAAATGGATGACTGCGGATTAATCCGAATCCGCTGCCGCTGCGGACTTTCTCAACTTCCATCCGAAGCCGCGCGGATTGACGCGGATTTTGCAGCTTCGCTGTGCCACTCTACTCCAAATTGACCGAGGAGCCGTGTCTCCAGCATGAATTAAATTAATAGACCTCGGCATGGGTACCCAATAGGTAGAGGTCTCTGCCCATTGGCCATTACCCATACCCAATAGGCCCATGGGTACCAATGTAGTACACGTGTTTTGGTCATGATGATCACGATAGTCAACTTCTGATGTAATTTCCTTGTAAATTTTTGAAATTGGACTGAATATGAAGAATGCAATATCTACTTTATGTTCAGGCTGTAAATTCTGTATACAAAATAGTATATATGTTGAGTAACGTAATCAATCACCGAGCCGCGGATACCACCGAGCCGCGTGTTTTCGCTACACCTGCTAAAGTTTTGCAACTTTTCCGCCATAAAACTAAATAAATTTGACTAATGAGAAACCGACATATAAACCTATCTATTAGAGCAATTTCTGATAGTATGTCCAACTGTACCACAACCACTGCAGCATTGTGGAGCACGCCGTCAAGGTAAAGGTGTAGGCTCATCATGTTGCTCATTAAGTTGCATATCAAGCTGTTGAACATGATTCTGGCCTTCTTGTACAGATAAAAGAGTATCTTTCCCTAGAATAGCACGTCTCCTTGCCTTCTTTTTAGTTTTCCGCTCATTTTCAGCTTGTAGGGTCCTAATCTCCTGTTGAAGAAGACAGTTTGTATGCATAGCCATCTGAGCAGCTTTTTCAAGATGATGAATATGAGCCACTGGACTACTAGACAGATTTTGCCTTCTTGCACTCAGGCTCTTTTGTAAGCTG